TATCCATGACGTATCAGCGTCTTCTGAATTTGAATAAGAAATCTGCTCCTGCATCGTCTTCTGATGTTGATTCTACTGCTCTAGTTTCCCGTACTGATTTTCGCGGGAATATTGGAGGTGGATGTGGACGTGGTCGTGGTAGAGGCCCAGAAGGTCGTGGCCCAGGAGGCCCAGGAGGTCCAGTCGGACGTGGTCAGCGACCTCGTTGTCATTACTGTCAGCAACTTGGTCATTATGAGGAACGCTGCTACACAAAGTATCCTCACATGCGACCTTCTTTTGCTGCTAATATAGCTCGATCGGATCTGCTTCAGAAACTGGTAATCATGTCTGCTTGTGTAATCATGTTGCTTGTGTTTCTCTTACTCAGGTGCTACTGATCACCTCTGTGGTAATAAGGAACTCTTTTCTTCCCTTACATATTCTAAAAATTTACCCTCTTTTACTCTTGCTGATGGAACTAAGGCCCCCGTTCATGGGATTGGACAAATCTGTCCAACCTCCTCATTGACCTTGACATTTGTCTATTACATTTCTCACATCCCTTATAATTTAATATCTGTTAGTAAATTGATCAATTCTCTTAATTGTATTGTCACATTCTCAAACCATTCTGTTTCTGTGCAGGACCCGGGTACGGGGAAGATGATTGGAGTGAACCGTGAGTCACGGGGTCTGTTCTACCTTGATGTGCCAAGTCCTTCAGTTGCTTGTTCTCTCACAGAATCTCCACAACTCATCCACAGTCGTCTTGGGCATCCTAGTCTTGCGAAATTGCAGAAGATGGTTCCTCTTTTATCCGGTCTTCAAACTTTAGATTGTCAGTCATGTCAGCAAGGAAAGCACATACGCTCCTCCTTTGCTAATCGAGTCAATAAGCGAGTTGATGCTCTTTTTTCAATTATTCATTCAGATGTTTGGGGTCTTAGTCGAAGTGTGTCTGTTTTAGGTTTTCGGTATTTTGTTACCTCTATTGATGATTTCTCCCGTTGTACTTGGATTTATTTAATGAAAAACCGTTCTGAGTTGTTTTCTATTTATCAAAAGTTTTCTGCTGAAATTCATACTCAATTTGGTGCTTCTATTCGTATTTTACGTAGTGATAATGCTAAGGAATATGTTTTTGTTGACTTTTCTCATTTCTTAGCCACACAGGGTACTTTACACCAAACCACTTGTCCTCACACTCCACAACAAAATGGAGTAGCTGAACGTAAGAATAGACATCTCATTGAGATTGCCAGGACTCTTCTTATTCACATGCATGTTCCTCTTCACTTCTGGGCTGATGCAGTCCTTGCTTCTTGCTTTCTCATCAACCGCATGCCTTCATCTGTGCTTAATAATGATATTCCTCATAACTTATTGTTTCCAGATGTTCCTCTCTTTCCTCTATCCCCACATGTTTTTGGTTGTACCTGTTTTGTTCATGATCTCACTCCTGGTAAGGATAACTTAACATCCAAAGCCTTTAAATGCATTTTTCTTGGTTATTCTCGTCTTCAAAAGCGTTATCACTGTTACTCTCCTGATCTCAAGCGTTACTTAGTTTCCGCTGATGTCACCTTTCTTGATCAACAACCCTTTAATTCTATCCCATCTCCATTGTCACAGGTTGATCATGTTCTTCCTGTTCCTTTTCTTGACTTGTCTTTGCCAGATGCAGGTTCTTCTACTCCAGATACGCAATCACCTATTGCTCCAGTACCTGAGAACCGTCCACTTCTCACTTATCAGCGTCGTAAGACAGTACCTCCAGTCGACTCGACCCCTGCTGACTCATTGCCCCCTGCAGTTTATTCTTCCCCTCTGGATCCTTCACCAGAGGCTCTTCCCATTGCTCAAAGAAAAGGTACACGTACTACTCGTAACCCTTATCTTCTTTATACCTTCTTGAGCTATGATCGCCTTTCTCCTCCTCATTTCACCTTTGTTTCTAGTCTTTCTTCTGTTTCTATTCCTAAGACCACAGGTGAAGCACTTTCCCATCCAGGATGGCGCCAAGCGATGCTTGATGAGATGACCGCACTTCATACCAATGGCACTTGGGACCTTGTTTCTGCTCCTCCAGAGAAGTCTATAGTTGGTTGTCGCTGGGTGTTTACTGTGAAAGTTGGACCTGATGGCCATGTTGATCGTCTCAAAGCACGCCTAGTTGCCAAGGGTTTTACTCAAATCTTTGGTCTTGATTATAGCGATACATTCTCTCCAGTCGCTAAGATGGCGTCCGTCCGCCTATTTCTTGCCCTTGTTGCTGTTCGTCACTGGCCACTCCTTCAACTTGACATCAAAAATGCCTTTCTTCATGGTGATTTACAAGAAGAAGTTTACATGGAGCAACCACCTGGTTTTGTTGCTCAGGGGGAGTCTGGGAAGGTATGTCGTCTTCGAAAATCCTTATATGGTCTCAAGCAGTCTCCTCGAGCATGGTTCAGTCGCTTCAGTTCTGCTGTACAGGCGTTTGGCCTAATTCGCAGTAAATTGACCATTCTGTATTCTATAGGATTACATCTCCTAACAAGTGCATCTATTTGTTAGTCTATGTTGATGACATCATCCTCACCGGAAGTGATCAAGACGGAATCCGTCAGTTAAAACAACATTTATTCAGTGCATTTCAAACAAAGGACCTTGGGAAGCTGCGTTACTTCTTGGGAATTGAGGTGGCGCAATCTAGACAGGGCATTTCTATCTGTCAAAGGAAGTATGCCTTGGATATCCTAGAAGAGACTGGTATGTTGGGATGTAAACCAGTTGATACACCCATGGATCCTAATGTTAAGTTATTGCCCAGACAGGGGGAGCCGTTATCTGATCCTGGACGTTATCGAAGGCTGATTGGGAAGCTCAATTATCTTACTGTGACTAGGCCAGATATTTCTTTCGCTGTCAGTACGGCTAGTCAGTTCCTTGATTCCCCTTGTGATTCACATTGGGATGCTGCTGTGAGGATCCTCCGATACATCAAAGGAGCACCAGGAAAAGGTTTGTTGTATTCGGATCAGGGAAATACAGAATTTTGTGGTTACTCAGATGCCGATTGGGCAGGATCACCCTCGGACAGACGCTCTACTTCTGGTTATTGTGTCTTCTTCGGAGGAAACTTAATCTCATGGAAAAGCAAGAAACAACCTGTTGTTTCCCGATCTAGTGCAAAAGCTGAGTATCGTGCAATGGCAAATACTACCTGTGAGTTGATCTGGTTAAAGCAGTTGATTCAGGAGCTTCATCTTTGTGAACAGAAACAACCCATGACACTCATCTGTGATAATCAAGCTGCGCTACATATATCTTCTAATCCTGTTTTTCATGAGAGGACCAAACATATAGAGATTGATTGTCACTTCATTCGGGAAAAGATTCAGTCAAGAGAAATCAAGACAGCTTTTGTCAACTCGTCTAATCAACTAGCAGGTGTTTTCACTAAAGATCTCAGAGGTCCTCGGGTTGAATACATTTGTAACAAGCTTGGTGCTCATAATATATACGCACCAGCTTGAGGGGGAGTGTTAGAATATTAGATATGATTGGATTCCGTCTTATCCGTAAATATTCTGATTGTATTAGGATTAGGTTTGGGCCTTTCACTTAAGCTCATTAGGGTCTCTATATATTGTAACTCTCTGACACAGATCAATACACAACATATTATTTTACATTCAATTGATACGAAATTAAATTTTACTAACTTCAATTTTATTTGTAGTTGGCTTTCCTCTCTTTCAAACGTAGATCACTTTTATAACCATTTTTGTTTCAAATATAAATTTTACAATTGCATTCCTTAACTTTGGTACTCATTTTTAGTGCTTGAGATTGTGTGTTGCTGACTTTTAGGAATTATCAAAATAAAATTGAAAAAAAATAAATAGTGCAAACAAATAGCAAAAGTAAATAGAAATAGAATATTACAGAAAGATAAGTGAAAAGATGAAATTTTGTAATAAGAATAAGTCAGGAAATTAGGTTATTAACTTATCTAAAATAGGTATAATCAAAACTAATCTTGATCGTAATTTTCAAATAAAACAATATCTTAGAAAATATGATGTATATAAGAATTGAATATGTAAAGCATCCCATGCATCGCACAGGTAGTTTACAAATGAGTTGAAAAGTAATGCTGGGGATTCTTAAACTATAGAAAATTGATGGGTAAAGGGGGAAGAAAAGAACTACACTACTTACAGTTGTAAATTTGGTTGGTTTACCCAAGAGGGGAGGCTCCCTGATAGATCGTTGTATGACAAGTCTCTGCAAGCATGTTAAGTCAAACCAAATGAAGGAAAATACATGAAGAATGAAAGTTTCAAATTGAAATTAGTGCAACATGATGAGCCTAAGTTGAATATTAACATGAGTTGACAAAGTCCAATATTTACATGTCCAAATAAATAGGCACTGAACCTGTCTGTAGAAATTAGTATGACCAACAGATTCAGGTAGAAGTATCAGATATTACACAGGGATAAGAAATTCCCTAAAAAATTAGGTTTGGGTACGAGTATGGCAAGATAGGTAGAACATTATTAAAAAATAATATTTATCATACATAAAAACGTCAAAAACAAATAAAACCATTATAAGACATAATACTAAAAAATAATGGTCAAACCATTCAAAGAATGAGGGGGGAAAAGTGGAGATAATTCATAAGAACATAAACTTAGATGTTATTAGCCCTTCTTTTTCAACTTAATATTTACTCATTGTAGGCACAATACTAGCATATATCCAATACTTATGATGTCCCATACATATTGGCAAAAGATTCAAAAATAAATAAAATTACAAGATGCAGACTAGAAGTTTCCAATGGTGTCGAAGGAGTATCCAACATAGATACATATCAGACACTAGTATAACAACCATTTTGAAGCACCCCAGCTTCCTTAATCCAATTAAGACAGATGGACACTGAATTAGCATAAAACAATTAGCAAATTGACAAATAGCAGCATAGAAAAACCCCCATCTGTGACTCTCAGTATAATCACACTGTTTTGGTTTAGCTTAATCTTTAAAATTGTAGGAAAGGGTTCCAATTTTAGGGCTTGTTTGTCTGTGCTTATTTTTTAGAAAAATTTCTTTTTTAATTAAAAAATATAAAAAAATATTTATTAGTTAAGTTTCTCTAAAGAAGTGAAAACTTCAATAAAAGCTATTTTAGTACTTTTCTCAAAAGCACTTTTCTTCAAAACTTATTCAGGTGCACCCTTAATCTCCCCCAAATTCAAATGCAGTTTTAATTTTGAAAATTATAAATAGAAATTATGTATATTTGGTCAAAATGCATGGAACCCCCTCTAACTACGGTTTATATGCAGACAACCCTTTGTGCTTTGAAACTCACCAGCAATACTCCTAGAACTCACCAAACCGTGCATATTGAACCCTTTCCCTTGAGGTGCATGTGTAGAAATCCCTTTTATAAGGGGTCAATATGCACGGTTTGGGGAGTTCAAGGAATCGTGTTGTTTGAGTTTCAAATCACAAGGAAGTTTTCTACGCATGATCCATAGTTCGAGGGGTTCCTTGCATTTTGCCCTAGTATTTTGAAAAAATGACAACCAGAACTGAATAAATACAAAAAAGTGAGACCATATAGATCAATACTCCATCTTTCTCCATAATGCAAATAGGTCAATCTTACTCACATTTTGAGAAGAGATGAACTTTTCTGAGTTGGGAGAGTGCCACTAAGTTTGTTATTTCCAAGAAACCTGGAATTGGATAAAAACAAAACATCCTTTAAACCATGTATGATAGCATATCAGCAAATCAATGTATAATTACTTGGGAATGCAATATTACAAGTTGGAGAGAGAACTCAAATTGAAAATTGAGCCCAGAATTTGTCCTGTAATGTTATTGAAGCTTAAATCCCTGCAAGAACCAGCATAAATATATAATTATCTGGCTTTGGGATAGAACACAACTATAAGACTAGATAATTGTTTTCTTTTTGCTGAAAAGAAAATATATATATAATTATCCTATCTGTATGACAAATAAGCTGAAAAGTTGAATCTTTCTACCACATAAAAATGAAAATATTGAAAGTGAAAAAGATAAAAAGAAGTTTAAATAGCAAGTTTACGCCAAGCCAGTAATGAGCATGTTGAGCTCTGTTTAGAAGTCACTCAGCTTATGAATATTTGATTAATTCATTTTGAACGCACTAGTACTAAAAACTTGAGATATCCCTTATATAACTAGCCAGTAATCAGGTTGGAGACATACTGTGGAATAGGAACGGAAAATTCTCTAATTTATTTCTTTCTGGCTAACAACTTCTAACTAATATGTTCATATGCATCTGAAGTGTAACACAAACAGGTGATACTCACAGCTGGGTCAAATTTTGAAATTCTCCAATGGTGGATGGAATTGAACCAGAAATGTTGTTATTCCTCAGTTCTCTGCATCAATTGTAACCAAATTCTTAGATTACACTCAGGGAAAAAAAAGACAAGAATTCTATGCACTTGGCAGACTGTGAGCCATGACCATTAGCAGAGTTGCAGCCTTACAAGATAGTCAAAGACTTCATATTCCTTACAAATGCGAGTGAGGAGCTCCCATTTGATAAACCACTTATTCTCCTACAGTTATATCACACAAGATATATTAGCTTTTATGAATCAACAGCAACCATTCAAGAAACTAGTGACGGGACTTACAACTCTGTCAAAGAAGACAAATTGGAAAATGATGAGGGTATTGGGCCTTTGAAAGAATTACCCTGGAACCTCCTATCAAGACATACAGCAATTCACAAAAACTGTCAGTACACAGTTCTGGAACTGAGTATGAAAGTAATCATAAAAGGAAAAATTTATATTTCACATCTTATATAATTGGTTTTGCCCAAAATTTATTCACCTGCTTAATTCAAATTAAGCAAGAAAGAAAAGTTGAGTGGTAACTTTGTCTTACAAGACTTGAAGCTGAGACCAATTCCCAATGAAGTCTGGTATACTGCCATTGAGTTCTGTATCTGAAGCCCATCTGAAATGAGCAGAAAAAACATTTTTTCTCGTAAAAGTTTTTTTAAGAAAAAAAAAATGATATATTTTCATATGAGGGACAAGAGAGTAGCAATATCTTACACTGTCGCCAAATTCTTAAGGTTTGAAAATGTGGAAGGAATTGGACCACTGATTCCCGAACTATCAAAGTAGCTGCAATGAAATATTCTTTTAAATTAATATCCTCTTGTAGTCACAAATATATGTATTCTCTGACATGTTGTACTTCTAGTTTGTTTCCAAAATATAAAGGATAGCCATAGTATCATGTCAAGTTCTATTGGAAGAATATTCAAGCAATTTACAGCTTCACTTTTACAAATGGAGGATGTCAAAATTTCGAACTTTATCTGAAAATACAAATATGTGTAGAAGGTAAGACTGCATAAGAATTTACAGTTGTTCTAATTTTATCAGCTTCCCAAGTTCAGGTGGGAGAGATCCTGAGAAGTTGTTTGACCCAAAACTCCTGCAAATATAACAAACATAATTACTGCCCAAAAACCTTAGTTCAAGTGACACCAAACAACACACTAAGACTGCTTTGTAACAGGAGGAAAGAGAAAAAGTTAAAAAACGTACAATGAAATTAACTCGGTAAGATTTCCCAATTCCTTTGGAAGCTCCCCTGATAAATCATTGATGCCAATGGTCCTAACAGAGTAACAAACTTAACATTAGAAATAATGTGTCGTAAAATTAAATACAAAGAATATGGCGAAGTTGAGTCAAATAGGCTTACAAGTATTGCATACGAGTTAGATTTCCAATGGCTGGAGGTAGAGAACCCGTAAAGCGATTCTGGCCAAGATTCCTGCTTGCAATTTAAGGAAACTTAGCATAGCAAAAAAAACAAAAAAAACTATTTTCATCTAAATCAACATGCAATTGAGGATCCACCATAAAAATTCATACGGGCGCATTAAATTAATTAATTTATTTACGCGGAAGTTTATACTTACCAGACTTACTATTCTTACTACCTCTTTGGTTATCATCAAGTTAATTCAAAATGAACATCAACTAACTTTTTTCTCTTTTTCACCAATTGATTTCAAATTGATCCAACTATAACCAAACAGGTGTAAACCTAAAATGGTGATAAATATAATCTTTTCCTTTATTTATTTATTTATTATTTTCAGGAATGAGTATTAGAAGATTAAAGTGGAAGAAAGCATACAAATTGGTGAGATAAGTTAGAGTCCATAGCTCTTCTGGAATTTCACTCACAACATCCAACGCATAAACCTTCCTGTGCCATTCAAAATAAAATAAAATAATAAAAAGTATTAAATTGCTTACAGCAAGCTTCCAAGTTCCAACATTGATTGGTAACACTGAAAATCATTCAGAAAAATTCACAAAATCATGAAACAAATCAAGTTGAGAGAGAGAGAGAGAGAGAGAGAGAGAGAGAGAGATACAGAGCTGTAATGTGGCAAGTATTTTTATTGTTATAGGAACAATCGCATTTGATGAATGGATTGTGAGCTGAGTCATCAATGGTTGTGGTGGAATCAATGGCAGCTCCACTGCATATTTCACCGCTTGCATTCCATTGAGTTGGGTCTGCCGATTCACCCCACTTGCTGAAGATTGCATTCAAAACTCTTGCTGCATTCACAAGTTCAAATTTTGAACGAATTACACATAAAAAATAAAATTAAAAAAAGTTTGAGTATTTCAGGGTAATTTCGTCTGTTGAATTAAAAAAAGAAGCAAGCACCCCACTTCACAGGTTTGTCTACTGTCTCTATTCAGTGTTTGTTTCAATTTTATTTTATTTTTATTTTTTAGAAAAATTATCTGTTTTTTTTTCAGAAGTTTTATTAATAAATTTTTACTTACTGAATATTCAGAGGTAAAATATTTAAACACCTACAATTGGGTACAAAATTTTCAAATAAATAGAATTACTTTTATTGGAGGTTTCAGTAAAAAAAAAAAAAAAGAGCCAAAAATCGTGTGCTATTATTCTTGCTTACTTATTTAGAAATTTTATATATTAAAAACTTACAAGTAAAAACATGTAGTTATTTACCAAAACAAACACATGTAGTTAAGGTCATGAGTTCAATTATACCGTGGGACATTTTTTTTTCACCTCCACTTCCTCAACTCCTTATTACTTCCTCAGCTCTTTATTAAGAATCTTCTAAATCTTCTAATAGGGGCTAGGGCCTAGTTTAAAAGCGTAAATAAATAAATCAGAAGGTGATTTGAACTTCGAATATTAATTAATGGGCATTATGTTGATAGGTATCTTTCTTTTTATTAAAAAAAAAAAAAAGCAGCAAGACATTCACATAATATTTTAATTTGGTTTTTGAATATATTTCATAAAATTTTAAATATTTGGTAAAATTTTAAATATTTATGATAAAATTATAGATTTAAATTTTTTTTTTAATTAACACTTTTTATTTCTAGCGGAATTCAAAAACAAAAAACTGTATAACATATAAATACTTCCTAATTTTGGATAAAATCCGTTTAAATGTTTTGTTTCTCTTGTAACATAACCGTATTAGTAAAATAAAAGATAAGCATTCTTATCAATAAGTGAAGGGAGAGATACATATCTAAAAATGTGACTTAGAAAATGTAGAAATAGTATATTATAGAAGGAAAAAAGATTAAGCAGAGAAAATATAAAGCCATTAACAATTAAGCTGATCAATCTTTTTTTTCTTTTTCTTCTTCTGAAATTTTCTTACCCTTTTTTGGTTCACTTAATTTGTAACTATTTTCATTGGAGGGTTTAGTATTTTACTCAATGATATATGAATTATGAAAAGAGAAAAAAAAAAAAAAACACCAGAAATGAGAAAGAAAGGAATTGTCTCCTTTTAATAGAGTTATCAATGATTCAATAATACATTTTGGAATAAGAAAGAAGAGACAAAGGACACTAGCTGGTTTTTGGTAGATAACCAATTAATTAATGCTAAAACTAAAAGTAAACGTATAAATATAAGAGATACCATCAATAATGAAAAATTGCAAATTGGCTTTTAGAATAATATTTTTTTTTTAGAGCAGGACAAATGAACATGCGGTGTACTGTACCAATAATAGTTTTTTTTTTTTTATGCTAGTTTATTAATTGAACAAAAGGTTTCAGAGAGAACGTGTATTTATAAAAGAAAAAATATTTTTACCTTTGCTATAAAAATATCTTCTCGCCGCATTTATATAAAAGTAAATAGATTTTATTAATTTTTTCTCACTCTTCTTCTCACAACGAGATCCATTCATTGGGAGTGTGAAAAAAAAAAAAAAATTCTACAGCAACAACCTTCGTAACATGGGTAATCTTCCCAGCCTTTTTAAAAGTTTGACTTGAATAAAGCATTCGATATTTCCCCAGAAAACCGAAACTGAGAAAATTCCCAAAAGTTAAGACCTTCTGTAATTTACAAATTAACAAGAAAACTAGTCTATTGATCACATCTATATATGAATGACACCCACACAGACAAAGATATAACAGAGTGATTATCAGTGAGAAACAGAGAAAGCAGAGTACCTTCAGATGGATATGTAGTGGCGTTTGCAGCTTGAGCTTGTGGAACATTCACGAAGCAGCTGAAGACACAAAAAGCAGCAACAAGTGCAAAAGCCAAAATATGTGATAAACAACGTCCCATCATGAACTTGATCAACCCTCACACAATAATCTTGCTATTTGATAAGCAATACCAAAGTTACGCCACAGTGGAAAATAGGCCTCGGAGAATTTTGCAGAGAGCAGAGGCAAAGATGGCGTCTCTGACCAAATTCACCATGGAATATATACGTGTGCTATGATGATTTTTAAACTGCTGTTTGACTATTTGGAGTCATTGAATGATATTTCTTGGTAGGTGTATTTAGTTCCCGGATAGATCCAGCCAGACTGTTTTTATATTATTTTATTTATTATTTGGAAAAAGTGTTTATACTTTCGAATTACACAATTTATATTCTTTTACTTTTATAAAGAGGTGGGATCCACACTTTTATTTTTTTTTAACTCTCTCGTCTTTTATCTATCTCTCTTAGAATGACACAACTTTATATCTTTTAAAATGATACACAGTTTACTTATTTAATGAATTTTGCAGACGTCTTTATGAACTCATTGATATTATTTTAAGAGCTAAGAGTTTGAACGGTTGAGATCCAGCACCTCTTGCAATTCGAGAGTTTTCTGATTGGGTGTTTGGTAGATAATAAATGTTTGGCAGATAATAAATGTGTAAAGAACTTTGGTATACACCACCTCAAAAGCTAGCTTAAAGGGTGAGAGTGCATCTTATAAACTTAAGGGTGAGAGTGCTCAAGACCTTATAAACTTCACATTTGTTGTTCATTCAACCAATGTGAGACTATATATCTCAACACGCCCCCTCACACGAGAGCCCATGGGACTAGAAGCGTGGATATTCCACTTTTTAAAGCAGGGGCGGTGAGGATCGAACTTGTGATCTTATATCACTCAAGCTCTGAGACCATGTAAAGAACCTTGAGATACACCACCTCAAAAGCTAGTTCAAAGGGTGGGAGTGCTCAAGACCTTATAAACTCCACATTTGTTACCCATACAACTAATGTGGAGCTATATATCTCAACATTTAAGATTCCAAAAATACCACTCATTTGATAGTATTTTTGGATGAAATTTTGAAAGAAAAATTGTACACAAAATAAAATATCGAAAAAATCAAATTCCTGAAAATAAAATTAGCAACTTTATATCAAACATTGATAAATAAGATTACCACTCTGGCTTTCTCAAGAATCTCAAAAACAAAATTCTTACCAAACACCCCCTTAATGAACTTCACATTACTGAGTTAAAAAGATTGAAAAAATATATATAAATTATTACTCAGGAACTAAATGATTTTAGGAATGCATCTTCTTACATATTATAAAAGAATCATAATCATATAAAAATAAATTAATAATAATCTATATATATATATATTTATTAAAATAAATAATTACAAAATCATCTAGTTAAAATTCACTCCCAGTAACTTTAGGGGGTGTTTGTTTCAGAATTTTGCTGAATAATCCTGGAGAAGTGTTGCCTGCATTCTGATTAATCCACGTTTGGTTCTCCAATTTTATGTTTTTTATCCAGCTTTTGTCGTTGCCTATCTAACTTGAATTAGACATGATTTGTTGGAAATTCACTGTTACATAATGCTTTTTGGATGGTGGTATTATTTGTAAAAACTGGATAAGTTGCAAAATTCACTCTTACGTGATTTGTTGGAAATTCACTATTACCATTTGGACAAGTATTGGTATAAAGGGCAATGTTTAATAAAAGGATAGTTTCGTAAATTCAGAATAGTTTCCCATCAATATTTTATATTCAACCAAACACACTCTTCACGAATTTCACTTAATTTTTCTGGTAAAATTTTACTCAACCAAACAATTTTTTTTACATTTTTCTACCAAACTCAGATTCCAACCATTTCCCTATCAATTACATTTTCTTATTATTTAAAAAAATTCTCCTGAACCAAACACCTACTAATAGAGACGTTGCAAGCATGTAAAATACACAGGGTAATGCGCCGTACGATCAAATATCCGACTTCTAAATGTAAGATTCCCTTGTCAAATTGACCAACTGGGCGATATATATAAAGTTAATTAAAGCCACCTTTTTTGTTGGCGAGATATTTTCACAGTGCAATTTGCAAATAATGCTATAGAAACCATAGATAAATTAATATTTGTCCTAGTCTTGCCCGCGTTAGGTCATTGGTGTAAACTTTATATTTATTTGATGAATGATGATAAATAATAGTACATTCAAATTCACGTGTGGACGCATGTTATAATATTCTTGTGCTGAAACTGACCGATTTCAATTTATGATTTTGAATTTATAATTTGAATATATACCGGCAACCATATCCGGAGTAAACATTTGGTGCTACCAATGCACCATGCATCCGTCCCAAAAAAGCAAAAAATTAGAATAGGAATGGAATAAAAATGAAAGTGTGAATTTAAATGAAAAAAAAAAACTTACTTTATTTTAAAAAAAAAGTACCCAAGTGGGTACATACATCCGAAGAAAATTCCCCATATCCGTATCTTACATTAGGGGTGTCAATATGGGTTGACACGACACGAATTTGACACGACACGAATTCGACATGACACGAATACATCAACACGAACACGACACGAATTTTCATTCGTGTCAAAATCTTCAACACTGACACGACACGAATTTTTTGCGGGTTGACACGACACGAATGACACGCAAAATAGGGGACAAAACGGTAATTGACAAAAAAAATTAAAAAAATAGATCGAAAATAAATAAAAAATTAAAAAATAATAAGAAAAAAATAAAAATAATAATAATTAAAAATAATACGGGTCGACACGAACACGAATTCATAAACACGAACACGACACGAATTTTTTGCGTGTCATTTTTTTCAACACGAACACGACACGAATTTTTTTACGGGTCAACCTGAACACGAATTTTCGTGTCGTGTCGCGGGTCAACCCGCGTGTCAAAACCCATATTGACACCCCTATCTTACATAAGCATGGGCAACTCTTTCATGTGTGTGGTCCCCATATTTTTAATCAATTTGATTCGTTTACATAATTATTACAAATTGGTTAACTGCATCACAAAAAAATTAAAAACGGATTAAAATATAAGAATTTAAAAAAAAAAAATACGATTTTTTAATATAAAATAAAGTTTAGGATGAGAAGAGACTCTATTCAGATCACTTACTAACAAGGAATTTTATATTTGAACTTAAATTATATTCAACTTAAAGATTAACTATATCAGACAATCCTGTTGATAAAAATAAAATATAAGATGTTTAGCAATATCCTAAAACGTTGAATTTATTAAATGTCGAAAAAAGCGACAACTTGCTTCTTCTTTTTCTACTTTTAATAGTCACAAGGTTAAATTAGTTTGTCTTTATTAAGCTTTTGAGTATCGTTAACCTTTGAAGCGTTTCCATTTAAATCCCCTTAAAACTGTAAAGGTATATTTATTAATTCACACTTTAATATTTTCATTTCAAACTTAAATCATTTTTTTTTTTTTTTTTTTTACTTTTCATATCCTCTGGCAATAAGAGTGTGCATGACAACCATTCTATTCCATGACATTGTTTTTAAGAAAAAAAATGTATTTGATAACATGTTCTATTTTTATTCCGAAAATGAGAATTGTGTTTGATAACACAACAAATAATATAATAAAAAAATAATTCCTATTAAGCATAATTTTTTTCGAATCATCACTTTCCTTTCCATATGATGTGGTGGTGGTGGTGGTGGCGATGATTGTGGCAGCGGCGACAATGGAGGCGTGGTGATGGTAATGGTGATGACATGGTGGTAGTGGTGACGACAGTGGCTGCGACGATGGTAGTGGTAATAATGGTGGTGACGGCGGCGACGGTGGTAGTGGTGGCGATGGCAGTGACTACGGTGATTGTGGTGGTAATGATGGTAGTGGTGGCCATGGTGGTAGTGGTGACGGTGGGGACGACATTGACTGCGATGATGGTGGTGATGGTAGGTGGCGATGTGGTGGCATAGTAGTGGCGGCGATGGTGGTGGTGATACTGTAAAGAAAGAATGGCTAAATAACAACACAAGAGAGGGGTGTAACACCCCGTGGGCACCCGGTGTATTAGACATATAAATGATAATAAAATTAATTTGCAAAGCTACTTATCCAATTATGAAGATTCATTAAATTAACCGTGTGAATTAACTTTTTCATTTTAACAATCCTTATGTAAAACTTATGTATTGCAATAAAGACATAACTGTAACACCTCGTATTTCTAAAACGTATAATTATATATGAAAATGTGTATTAAAGGGTAGGATTAGGGAAAATCCTGAATTTAGAACCAAAATACGTAAAAAAAGGGAAAATGGTAAGCTGCCAAACACGTAAACCTAGGAAAGAAAAATTGAGTAGAAGGTCTCAAATGAAAAAACTAACATTGGAAATGGATTCAGAACAAAAAATTGAGTAGTTAGGTAAGTTCCTGGAAAAATGATGAATAGTGTTTTTCTGGGTAAAAATATTGCGGTACAGTTGCACCGTTAAGCGTGTCGAATGAATTTTGAGCTCTAAGTTTAGAAGTAAGTTATAAATGGTACATAGGACTAGGAAATATGATTTCTGGTGAAAATTGATGGAAATTAGGGTTTTTGGGGAAGCGTGCCCACAGCGCGCATAACAGCTTAAAATTGTGATTTCTCCGAACGACTGAAAAACTCCGGATTCATCTAGTCAAGGACAATGGTTAATGTTAAAAGTTGGAGTTTCTAAATAGTTTAGGAATTTATGGACGTTTAGTGGAATAAGAAGGAGATTTGAATTAGTTTGAATAGTGTGAGGTGGCGGTGGGACCCACCCCACTTAAGTTATATCATGACACCTTGACCAAGACCACTATTCTTCATCTCGTTCCCTCTCCTCTCTCTTAAACCCCCCTTCCATGTGAAAGTTCTTGGTTGAAATTTCTTTCCCACCAAACTACATCAAATCTCACTCAAAATCAACAATATTCTATATCAAACCTTAAGTAAAGGACATTCTAAACACAATCATGGTAGTTTTGAGCCTTGAAACCCACTAATTTTAGAGAAAAAACCCATTCAAATCCACGGCCAAGTGAGGAGATTTGGTGTTCTTGGGTTGTTTGATCAAAAGTCATTGCTTGGATATCACTTGGATGAGTCCTAGGCCTTGCTTGTGGGTAAGTTTCAACATATTTCATTGGTTGATTCAT